ACGCATGTTAATGCAAGGTGTAAATGCGTTGTGATCGCGATTGGATCTGCCTGACCACATCTGCAGGTAGTCTGGCTCGCATTGTGTCCGGATCTTTACTAGGTGTAAACGCAATCTGGTTGTTGAAACCACATATGTATATTTTACTCCTCCCAAAAAGGCAAAAAAATAAACGAGTAAGCTTGTTATATAGGCTTTATGTCATGTTATAGTCAGATATGACGGCGCTACTGCGACACGGATCACCCATCACCGCTCATGAGCGTCTATTCATCGAGCCAACGTGCAAACATCGCAAATAAAAGTGAAAGTAAGTCACAGACGCTTAACACACAATCATCTTCAAGTAAAGAAACGAAATTATCTTACCAGCGGTGTTGCCACTCTTTTATTGATGTCTTTGATTTGGAAATTAGCTGATGATCAACGAAATGCAGCTCATATCTGTTGCTTTTGGTGTCGTTCAATCCATTAAATCTGCATACGCAGGAGTTTAAGATCGGATTTATATCCGTTTTGCAAAAACACATGTATGTGGCCAGGTGTAAATGGAATCGGTATTATCCAGATAACTTGTCTGGATACAGATCGCATTTTAATACCAGGTGTAAATGGGGTCTCTTATTTTTCCTGAACACCATCACGATTGAAAATGTGACATTGATTTCCTACAACAGTTCAATAAACAGTAAAAAATTAAATCACTTACATTTTAGATGCTATATTGGCTGTTTTTGTTGTGTTTCAGCAGCGAAAATAGTTCCAAACAATAATCACAGCAGAACCACGGCACATGTCACAGGAACACTCGACGTGTTTTCATTACTGAATCATTCAGCATTTTGAACGAATCGATTGAGTCAAAGATTCAAAGACACATTCAAAAACATCGGTCTCATTCTTGAATGATCAGCCGTTTGAACGAATCGTTTGAATGAATGAATTGAATGACTCACTCATTAAGACGGTCGCCTGCCACCACCTACTGGCGGTTTAGTGTTAAATGTTTAAAAGTAGTATCATTCTTTCCCAGTTTCTTATGTAAATTTAAATAAATGTCATAACATTATTTTATGCAATTGTGTTTTTTCAGTGTAAATGATTTAATTTGATCAGCCCCTAGAGTAACAGCCCATAGTGTCTTATTATTCGAAATAATACACCAGAATTTATAGTTTACCCACCTCTTTTTTTACCACTACACCTCTGACCATAGTGTACATTAATTTACCACGTTCTAGCATGATTTATCATTATTTACAGTGATTGGGGCTTGGATGATTGGATTTTAATGTGATTCTAGGAATACAGTATAGCTATTTACCACGTTAATAGCAATTATGTGAAGATTCAGAACAACTGAAGTGATAAACTTTGACAAAAAAATGATTGTGTTCAATATTTGACCAAATGTGATTGCAAATGTTAAAATAGATAATTAATAAAGTCATAAAATTAATTATAGTTGAGTGGTGAGACAATTACTATTTTGAACAGCAGAGGGCAGTAAAACACCACTTATTGGCTTAATAGACCATCATGTTGATATCATTTCACTTTTTTAACTGTTATTTAGGCATATTTTGTCAGATCTGTCTGTAAATGTTCATGATTATTTAATGTCACGTGTTCTGACTTGTTTATTGAAGAGATCAATGCTTTCAGGGACACTGAAAGTGTAGTAATAGATGGCTTCAACACACTAAATGTTGAAGCCATCCTATTATAGTCATCCACATGACGTAGTTTAACTTTTTCTTATAATTATTGATCTAGAGAGTCCAAAGAATTGTACTGCACTGGTTTTAACATTATGATATGATCAGAGATGGAAAACACCATTTACAGTCAATAATGGCAATTTACCATAGGGATTACATTGTTTTTAACATTTTTAACAGTTATAGCGCCACCTATAGTCCGATCTCCATGAAACTTTGCATGCTTGTTAATGATGTGATGACACATATGCTCATCAATTTTTGGGATGTTCTGAGTTTTCCTTTAGGATTTATAGGCTTTTGGGTGCATTTTGTCACGCCCCCTTTTGTAAATGACCCTGTTATAGCAAAACAAATGTCAAAGTTCAACTTTTTTTTGATAATTATTGATCTAGAGAGTCCAGAGAATTGTCCTAGACTGGTCTGGTTCCGATCGAGCAAAAAACCAGGGACTAGTTCGCAAAAGTAGGTTTTTAACATATTTGTGAATATTTAATGAACGATTTGATTGACAGCAATGGTTCTTGAGGCAAAGTTGTTCATCATGAGGAGATCTATCAAAAGATATGCATTTTGTGGGGATATGCGCAACACCACGTGATTACAGAGCCATAAAACTCGTTAGCGCCAACTAGTGGCCGATTTTTTTCAAAATTCTTACAGACCTCTAGGGCCATGAGTCGAACATGCCCATCGAGTTTCGTTCCGATGGGCCTCCGTTAACCTTGTCTCACAGGTGCTCAAACTTCATTGGCCGATGGCGGCCATGTTTTTTTACATACGCCAATGTCCTCATAGATATACATGGGGCCTTGGTCCAAGACACTGCATACCAATTTTCAAGTCAATCGGACTAACGGTCATGTGGTCATAGCCCTTTTTATGTTTTTTTCATGTTATAGCGCCACCTAGTGTTCAATCGTCGCTATTTTTTTACTGTGACCTCAAATTGAACTCGTACACATGTGTACCGAGTTTGGTGAAGATATCTCATTTACTTCTTGAGTTATAGCCAATTTAGTAAAATAGGCTCCTCCCACAACGTTTATTTTGCTTCCCCTAGCGACCGGAAATAGAAATTTCAACATTTTTTTGATAATTATTGATCTTCAGACTCCAGAGAACATTTCTGCACTGGTTTGGTTCCGATCGGGCAAAAAACCAGGGACTAGTTCGCAAAAGTAGTTTTTCGACAAAATTCAAAATGGCGGAAAAATTTCCATACCGGAAATGAAATCGGAGATATACGTTTTTTTCGTCAGGTGACCAGCTTTCCAATGATATAAGACACTTGAGTGTACGACTTACGGTCTAGGAGTTATGAGCCGTTTCGCGCAATTGGTCGCTATAGCGCCACCTATGGGCCAATCGGGCTCATAATTTGATAACCTCTCCTCGATTTTTGTACTACCATCTGACAAAGTTTCAGAGCTCTAGCCTTTACGGTTTGGGCTGCACGATGCGTTTTAGGGGAGAATAATAATAATAATAAAAATCAATACAATTACAATAGGGTTTCAGCACTTCGTGCTTGAACCCCTAATTAAAGCTGCAAGCAGCATTTAGCGGGGTTCAAGCAGTTTAGGCCTTTAAGGCCTTTAAGCACAAAAGCATCAAAAGACATTAAGTTTTAAGTTTCAATAATGGCAATTTATTATAGGGTATACATTGTTTTTAATATTTTTAACAATTATAGCGCCACCTATAGTCCGATCTCCATGAAACTTTGCATGCTTGTTGAATACGTTATGACACATGTGCTCATCAATTTTTGTGAAGTTCTGACTTTTCCTTTAGGATTTATAGGCTTTTGGGTGCATTTTGTCATGCCCCCTTTTTTAAATGACCCTGTTATAGCAAAACAAATGACAAAGTTCAACTTTTTTTGATAATTATTGATCTAGAGAGTCCAAAGAATTGTCCCAGACTGGTCTGGTTCCGATCGGGCAAAAAACCAGGGACTAGTTCGCAAAAGTAGGTTTTTAACATATTTGTGAATATTTAACGAACGATTTGATTGACAGCAATGGTTCTTGAGGCAAAGTTGTTCAGCATGAGGAGATCTATCAATTGATATACATATTGTGGGGGTGTGTGCAACACCACGTGATAACAGAGCCATAAAACTCGTTAGCGCCAACTAGTGGCCGATTTCTTTCAAAATTCTTACAGACCTCTAGGGCCATGAGTCAAACATGCCCAACGAGTTTCGTTCCGATCGGCCTTCGTTAACCTTGTTTTATAGGTGCTCAAACTTCATTGGCCGATGGCGGCCATGTTTTTTGAGATACACCAATGTCCTCATACACATACATGGGGCCTTGGACAAAGACACTGCATACCAATTTTCAAGTCAATCGGACTAACGGTCAGCTGGTCAGAGCCCTTTTTTAGTTTTATTCGTTTTATAGCGCCACCTAGTGTTCCATCGTGGGGATTTTTTTACTGTGACCTCAAATTGAGCTTATACATATGTGTACCGAGTTTGTTGAGGATATCTCATTTACTTCTCGAGTTATAGCCATTTTAGTAAAATAGGCTCCTCCCACAACATTTATTTTGCGCCCCCTAGCGACCGCAAAGAGACTTTTTCAACATTTTTTTGATAATTATTGATCTTCAGACTCCAGAGAACATTCCTGCACTGGTTTGGTTCCGATCGGGCAAAAAACCAGGGACTAGTTCGCAAAAGTAGTTTTTCGACAAAATTCAAAATGGCGGAAAAATTTCCATACCGGAAATGAAATCGGAGATAAACGTTTTTTTCGTCAGGTGACCAGCTTTCCAATGATATAAGACACTTGAGTGTACGACTTACGGTCTAGGAGTTATGAGCCGTTTCGCGCAATTGGTCGCTATAGCGCCACCTATGGGCCAATCGGGCTCATAATTTGATAACCTCTCCTCGATTTTTGTACTACCATCTGACAAAGTTTCAGAGCTCTAGCCCTTACGGTTTGGGCTGCACGATGCGTTTTAGGGGAGAATAATAATAATAATAATAAAAATCAATACAATTACAATAGGGTTTCAGCACTTCGTGCTTGAACCCCTAATCAATACAATTACAATAGGGTTTCAGCACTTCGTGCTTGAACCCCTAAAAATCAATACAATTACAATAGGGTTTCAGCACTTCGTGCTTGAACCCCTAATAATAAAAATCAATACAATTACAATAGGGTTTCAGCACTTCGTGCTTGAACCCCTAATAAAAATCAATACAATTACAATAGGGTTTCAGCACTTCGTGCTTGAACCCCTAATAATAGTTTTAAAAAATTGACCAGTTGCCATTTAATACTCACCTTTCATTGCTTCATTAATGTAAGCTTTGAGATAGTCAACACGCTCATTGTCATTGAGCAGATCACCATAGTTCTCAGTTGGCATTCCGTTTCCTGTGATATAGATGGGCACGTTTGTGATGGATGTGTACTCTAAATAGATAAAGTTCAATAACCGCCGAAGCCCCCATGGAACAGACTGGATCTGGTCACTAGCGGTGGTTGGCCATGTGGGGTCCAAATAAGCCTCGAAGTCCCCAACATTGTTGGGTCCAGCGTCACATCTACCCAAGCTCTCGCCAATGAGTCGGGAAGTGTAGTGATTCAGTCCGAAGAAATCAGCTGTGCCTCGGATTCTTTGTTTCTCTGTCTCAGTGAAGACGGGGAGTCTTGCCAGCTCTATACCACACTCAGCTTTCTTTAGCTCTATTTGATTCTTCAGCACGGCTGGATAGTCACCATCTACAAATATAGGGTGAGCAAACCAGCCCAGCTTGAAGTTCAAATAACGCTCTGCTGCTGCAACGTCCTGATCACTTGTGGGATTCCTTGGCTCTGCCCAATCGGAGTTAAGAGCAATGCCCACTTTTCCACTGTACAGCGTCCTGTAATTGTCATTATAAATATGCCAGGCTTCAGCATGAGATTTCAGAACATTGTGCGTCACCTGTGAAAACAAGCAAAGCATTGCCAATATATACTTTATAAAATCATATAAAAGATGGTACTTTTTCTGATTGACAAACGCACCTTGTAAGAGGCTATTATTGGGTCATTCATACGTGGGGGATGTTCCCCTGTTCCATACCCCAAGTTGCTCACTACCCAGGGGCTGCCGAAAGTGATCCATGTTTTGACTCTGTCTCCATAACGAGAGAAGCAAAAGTCAGAAAATTCTTTGAAAGCTTCCACAATAGAGTCATTAACCCAGCCTCCTGAGTCCTGCAGAGCTTGGGGAAGGTCCCAATGATGCAGGGTAACAGTAGGCTCGATGCCGGATTGTAGAAGTGTGTTAATCATCTTGTCATAATAAGCAGCCCCCTCTTCAACCAAACTTTCTCTGCGACCAGTGGGGAAAATGCGAGCCCAGGAAATTGAGAACTGATAATTAGGTGCCATCATTCCCCTAAGCAGATACGCATCATAATCTACCTTATGATAACTATCACAGGCCAAATCAGTGGTCTGGTTTTCAAAGACATGGCCCTCGTGGCTAAAACGATCCCATATGGTCTCACCCTTCCCGTGCTCAGCCCATCCACCCTCCACTTTGAAACTCTCACTGGAGACAGACCATTCAAAATCAACTGGGAACGAGCCACTCAGAAACTCATCACGCTCAGCTTCGCTTTGACCTTTGAATTTCTCCCAGACCTTCAGGTATGAGATTGCAGAAGCTGATTTCTGATGGACAGGAATCCTGAACTTCTGTGGCTTTGCATTACTGGAGCTCAAAAAAACAGCCAACAAACCGAGAGAAAGAAATCCCTCTAGGACCTTCATCGTGTCAGTTGTGAGTGTGGAAGAGTGGGGAAAGCTCTTTATAACCACCATGGCTGTTATGTCAGTTATACAATCGGTTATACAACAGTGTCAGATATACAATCAGTTATAGAGTTATACAAGAGTCACTTATGCAATCATATGACTTTAATCCAATTAGTGATAGAGTTTATGGCAGTCACGGTGTGTTCACATGTGTAGTTTGGTTGGCTTGGTTCGTTTGGTCCGGACCAAAAAAAAAGGGTAGTCTTGGTGCTCTTAGTGGAAAACAGTCGTGTTTGTGAAATATGAAATAATTTTTTGATTTTCTGTCTGAGTTAGTACTAGCTGCAGATAAAGTCTTTATTATTGATGAACAAAGGAAGAAAATGAAAAAGATGCATTGATGTTGGCATTTATAGATATTTTAAACTATTGGGAGTTAAACAACACCTGTCAGAACGTAATCATGCTTTAGGTTTTGATGTGGACACATGGAAAGTATGTTATAAATTTATGTAATGCTTTGCATAATAATAAAAAGTATATTAGTTGTACATTTCTCTCCAAAAATAATTCTCAGATAATGGATAAGGTTTGTATGAAATGAAACGGTGGCATTACATGACCACCTAGTGTACAACACACAGTAGCAACCAGGTTTATTACAATTATTTAACACATACAAACATTAAAATTATTGCAAATTTGATTAATTCAATTACAAAATATGTGACTATTTCAATTATATTTTTTGTTATTGCACTGTGAAAATCTATTACAATGTATAATCATCTTAAAAATGTTTTTGGTAAAGTGTTAACATAAAACAAATGAGAGGGACAGAGATTTAATACAGATTATATAGATTATACAGATTATGTTGTTTTGAAACCAAAATAAAACATTCCACAAGCATCCACAAGATCAGTGATACAGCATTTTAATTGGTGAGAACTAGCAAAGGTTTTAAATCACACATCTTGATGTTAGTCGATTACCTTTCCTTGGTCTGTATACAAGATTAAAGAATGAGGACACAAGGTACGTTAGAATTTAATGCTAAAAGATTCACTTACTCACGATTCAAGATTCACACATATGCATAAAGTTGCTGGGATCTGTAGGTCACTAAGAAATAGTTTGAATTAAAATTTCTGTATTTCTTTAGTGTTATTTTTCTGGACTCCAGCTTAATGTTTAAATGCAATGCCGCTAATCAAAAAGCATGTGTAATATTCAAAACTATGTCATTTACCGTGTTTTGTGTTTTAATTTTTGATTTAAAAATGCATGATTTAATATAAATTGCGGTGGTAATCAAATGAATGCATAAAACACTTGATTCTACGATTCTGCAATAGGGCCCTATGATTTTTAGTAAATTCAAATGTCTAACAAGCATTAACAAGATAATTATTTCCAATGTGTAAAGATGTAGCGCTCTAATAAATATGAGAGTACAATATTGAACTTACTAATACAAACATCATATATAAAAATGTACAGTTTAAGTTAAGTTGGTTATTAAAAATATAAGGCATTAAATAGAGCAATCATTTTCAGCCTAGGTGTTCTCAAGCTGCAAACATTCATAACATGTGCTAATTTATTGTACATATCTGAAAAATAGTGCACGTGGCGGTAACCTTTTTTTCCCAAACATGAACACAATTAAACAGTATATAACTTTTAAGTCAAAGTTCAGCAAATTAGCATTGCATAAGTGCGTTTAAGTGCGTCATTGATTTTATGGATCACGTCATTCATTTATTACTGGTCATTCACATGTTAAGGTTTCCTTGATGAAGTTTCCAGTTACTGACATAACCTCGGCTCCCAAAAATGAGGGAACTATCCTCCTAGAATAATGAAGCCTTATGGTTTTTTAACTTTAAAAGTTAACAACAATACTGAAGTTAACAGTGATACCTGCTTACCTTTAGTTTTTGACTTGGATAAATATTCACATTCTTCATGGTATCGTTTGCTGGGAAAATAAGCTTTTATCATATTGCACAATCATTTGTTTTCACTGAAGTTCTGTTCACAATGTTGATCTAGTTGCTGTGAAAATTGTGTCATGTGCTGTTGCTTCACCCATCATGAGGGGCGTCACTCGGATTTTCATTTTATGAGAATGAGGGTATTCAATGAGGGTATTATTTGAAATAATAATAAATAAGGTACACTTTAGTTTAGGATCTAATGCTCACTATTAACCAATTTCATTACCATGCAAATGCAGGGATTTATTGTGGTCCGGAATGTGAGCTAGGTTATTTAGGGGGGTTCAGGATTTCCCAGAGAAAATTTAGTTTTCTCTGATTTCTCTGATATGTGCATTTTAGGATGTTTTGAAGGCCAAAAAAAATAGATGGTGGGCAGCTGATTATTTCTCTCTCCTCATCAGCATCACCTTCTTTTGCTCTTAGTTTTCTCCTAAAGCTAAGCTTTGAAAGATATAGGCTTTTCATTTTTGTCTCTACAATAATAAATAAATTATTTATTAATTTAAAAACCCCATCTCTACAATAATAAATAAATAAAGGCTGGTTTCTAAAGTACTTCTTCCTGTATTAATGTTCATGGGTAGCCTAAATGGGTTCCATTCAGACCTTAACATTAAGTCTTTTACTGTTATATGTCAACAGGATTAAAAAAAAAACATTTTCACCTGCTATACCCAATGTTTAGATCTGTTTGAATAATTATGCAAATTAGCACTTATGTAATTAGATTATGCACCATTTGTCCATGTTAACAAACAATTGCAAAAACTTGTGATACATTTTTTGTTTGTCTTGATGTAAGTAATCAAATCAATCAAAATTTGTACCCTATTCACGTGAGAAAAAGAATGAATAATGTGTATGAATGGGATATATTTGGGTCTTTTTCTAAACTTTCCCCTAATGGGATTCTTCGGGGCTTTTTTTTCCTTACTCAGGACATATTGAGGATACAAAATCAGTTGAGTTTGCTTCTGTTGCTATTTGTTCAAGGTTGACCCCCATTTTGGCTTAAAATGACTGGACTATAAAATGAGTTGTCCTCTGAGATGGAGCTTACGCAGACGGTTGGTTATTCTATCTAACTTTGATAGGAATGCTGAGCGAAGTGCTTTTAGCTCGGTTAGCACCTTGGCTTTCTCCACCATGCTGTTAGCATCCATGCTCTCTGCGGTACTGTTTTCGCACTTCATGTTTTCGAAAAGACGTCTCATTATTAAACCTCTCGGATCTTCGGTCAAAAATTGTTTTGAAATGTTGAATCGCTTCATCAGAGGAGGATGAAACTTGGTGACTTTTGTTATATTACCTATGTGAACGCATAAAAAAATCAAGGAGATGATTCGTCGTAAAAAAAAATTGTCACACTTAGCTTCCTCCCGGTCAAAAATGACCGACCTTAGGAAATGAATGGGAAATACGAAAAAAATAGGAAAACTCAGAGAAACCTTTGGTGGTACAAACTACAGATCAGCCACTGTGCAGAAAAAAAGTGTACAGCAATGAAGGGGTGATACTCCAATACCAAGAGTGCAAATAAGACACCTCCCCCCCACACACACCCCCAACGCACACAAACACACACACATACACACACAGAGAGAGAGTGAGAGATATACTGTTTGCATTGTGTTCCCTTTGTAAACATATGTCATTATTTCATAATGCAAAACCTGATACTTCTATACATGAATAAAATAAATTAAAAATAAATAAATAAATAAATAAAGTAGTCTTTTATATTATCTAAACATATATCTAAATAAAAAAATGAATAAGAAAATCCTGTCTAAAACAACAATAGGAATCAAAGCCTTTTTATGTATTTAGATAGGAATCTACAGGCGGTTACAGGACATTTCACACATTTATATATTTTTAAAGCCACTGGCGCTCTTCTCACTTGAATTTTTTTTAACAATAATAATTCATTTTTTTAAATATATTAATTCAAATGAAAAAAAATAGCTCAAACAAATAATATTATTAATGCAAAGTATCATAAATCATAAAAAAACATGAACAAGAATATATTTTATCGGTTTTTCTGGGGAGAAAAGGTTAAATTTTAAGGCTTTTTGACCGGGAGGAAGCTATGTGTAATCCATAAATGAAGAAGCCCAAACTGAGAGGGGCTTAGACGTAATCGAGACGGAGTTGAAAGGTCAGGTTTGTAGAAGTCATTAATGTGCAAAGTTGTGGAGAGCTCTTATCCTATGTCTTAATTTTTATAAACATTTCTATGACAAACCTATCACAACATCTAAAAAGACTGTGAATTTACATAAACATCCAGTAAAAGTAATAGACGTATGCAGTTAAATAATCCAGACGGGGTATTCATCAAGGCCACATTGTTACCTTCACAATCACAACTCATTTACAATTCATTGCGGCTGATTAAAAACACGTTTCCATAATTTAATAATAAAAGACTGTATCCAGTGATAACGAAGTGCAATCTGTAATAAAAAGCAGATCACGGGAAGACAAGAGTTTCTGATAGTGTCTGTACAGGGAGCAAAGCTGCATGAAACCACTTTACACACACAACCCAGTCGGGGGAAAAAAAAATGTTCACATTAACATTTAGTTAATTTTATTAAAACCAGAGGCATGGAGGTACTAACACATAAAGAAAATAAAGTTGAAAGCTCTCAGCAGTCTCTGTTGATCTGAAAATAATCAGAAATATCTAATTACTTCTACTTACTGCAGAAACCTTGAAATTTCAGCAGCAATAAACTGTTTGACAATACCATGGCCGACACATGGCATAGGAGACATGCCTACCCAGACAGCAAACTGACATTGAATCAACGTGGAAACGACGTCTCTCATGACATTGAAACAACGTTGATTTTGCTCATCGAATTAACGTTGAACCAACGTCAGACGCGGCATTCTTCAAAGCTAAATGACAATCGAAAATTGGTTTGCTTTCATAACGTTGAAACAACGCGTTGATTTCAAGTTGATTTTCCGTTAGTTTTGAAAGAATGACGCGTCTGACGTTGGTTCAACGTTAATTCGATGAG